TGGGGAGGACAGGGACTTCAGTGGGGTACAATGTCACAGAGTCCACCCTCCAAAGCATCCATTTTCTCCATGGGAAGTTATCTCTGGAGATGAGCAGTAATTCCAGGCATCCCCAGGTCTCACCTGGAGGCTGGCATCCCTAGGCAGCACCCTCTGGGTGACTTGATACCACCTGATTTGCATGACTCAACTAGGCCCAGCTGCTTGCTACTGTTCATCAGCAGCCACCCTATGAAAGCCGGTGCGGTGCATCAGTTAGAGCTTCAGATTAGGGTCTGCGAGACCCAGGTTCAGATCCCTATCTTGCAGTGGAAGCTGACTGGGTTATTTTGGACCAGTCACATACATTCAGCCTAGCCAACCTCACAGGGTTGTTGTGCAGATAAAAAGGAGGAGAGAATAATGTAAGCTGTTTTGGTCCCCACTGTGGAGAAAGACTGTAATTTTCCTAGGTAGAGGCTGTGGGGGAGGGGTGTGGAGACGGAAAGCTGAAGACAGAGAGGCAGATAAAGGTAGGTTGGCTGTTGGGTGGGAAGGAAATTGTGTTCCCAACTCCAGGTTGGGAAATTCCTGGACATTTGTGGGGTGGAGTCTGGGGAGGGTGGGATTTGAGGAGGGGAGGAACTACAGATCAGTATAATGCCATAGACTTCACCCTCCAAACCATACATGGAGGAGAGAGAAAGAAAGGGGGGGGGGCAGAAGGGAGAAAGAGTGTGAGAGAGGTAGAGGGAGACAGGAGGAAGCAAAGGTGTGAGGAATAGGATAACCATCCCGCAAGTTTCTTGCGGGTCTCCACTTGTACAATTATATTTCATTGGGTTCATTTGTGAACACTGCATAATCAATCTGATGTAAATAGTTACCACCCAAAGCAATGAACATCTGTTTTTGTTTTGTATTTTCTGTGTCCATGACAAGTTTGGAGGTTGCCTCAGTGGACCAGGCTGGGATATCTTAAAACGGCTCATATCTTCTGGATCTTTATAACCTCCTCCACACACACACATTTTTAAGTCAAAGAAACTTGTCCAATATCTCAGAAAACTAATGAACTGTGAAACCACAATGAAGGTGAAGTACACAGTAATGAAGAGGTGATATTTCAGACAACCATGGAATATTTTCATCTCCAACTGTTGCTGATTTCAAAGTAAGCCTTAAGGCCTTAACCATCACAGAAATATAAGCTGTGGTTGGATATTGTCCTGCTTCTGCCATCACTATGAATACGGCATACAGTTGAGTACCTTAAGAATATATTTATTTTATTTATAACCCACCTTTCTTGCTGAGACTCTCCCAGTGCTATCTGGGATGATTCCATCCTCCCCCCACGGATGCTTTAACTTTTGCTTACTAAAGCAGTATATTGCAGAATTTGTTTTTCTCTCCCCTCCAAATTAAATATCATACATATACTTCCTCACAATTTGGGGAGATATTTAAATAGTATGTCAAGGGATGTTCTGTGAGTAGTAGACCATTTTTGAAGGGAAAAAATTAAAGGAAAATATAAATTATAAATGACATTCAAGTGCCAAAAAATGAAGTGCCCCTCCTACTCTCTATACTTTCAGAGTGGAAATTCTTAAATGCCGGCAACATTGGAAGGGATGATGGGAGCTTGCTTTTGCCGCGTTCCAAGTAGGGTAGTATGAAAAAAACCCTAGTTTTTCTTTTATCAGGTTGTCCTTACAGCAAACATGGTAACTAATTTTCTCCCCAGTTTTATATAATTGTGTTGGAATCAGTGTTCCCTCTAAGCTGAGTTAGTGTGAGCTAGCTCACAGTTTTTTAGCCTCTGGCTCACACATTTTTGCCTCGGCTCAGGAAGGAGGGCTCCAGAGCAAACTGATTTATGCAGTAGCCAGATTGCTCGCTCACAACTTTAATGCCAGCAGCTCACAAAGTAGAATTTTTGCTCACAAGACTCCAGAGCTTAGAGGGAACATTGGTTGGAATAGTGTTCTGCCTTTTAAATGGACTCTGTGAGCAAGCATGGCTTGTACCTTAGTGAGCCCAGAAACCTGATGTCTCTTCATCTTGCCAAGTTCTATCCTCCAGGGCCTTGACAAACTGCCACACTAGATGAAGCAGCTGCGCTTGCATCCATTCCTAACTGACACTAGCCACATGGCAGACCTAAACTCTGCCTCAGTAAAAGCTATTTTAGTCAAGTTGGCTTTTCCTCTGTAAAAGCTCCTCCCCAGGGCATAAAAAAGAAAAGGGCTGATAAGCTGGTCCTAATAAAGCTGCATTCCCTAGCCATATTTATTCTGTCCCAGAATTCTGATCCGGTTGGGGTCTTTTGAGCTTCAGCAAGCTATTGGAACTGGTCCTGCCCATATTTTATGCAGTAGTGTCTGATTTCATACTTATATGCTCAACAAACAGTTCACAGAAAACCTGTCTTCAGTGTCTATGCAGTACAAACCCTGTGCAGGTTTTCCCCAATCTATACATGATTTGGTCAGGTCAGTGTCTATGCAGTACAAACCCTGTGCAGGTCGGCACCACAAAAATCAAGGTGCAGCAAGCAGCAGATTGGGCTCTCAAGTACATAAGATGCTCTGTAAATTTGCGGTGAGGACAGCAATACAGACCAGCTTGCAAACCTTGTACATACTCGGAAATTATTTGCATGGGGCTATAGTTATGACTGCAAAGGAAAACAGTTTTCTGTTTACAGAGCAATGCAGCTGTTATACTGTTCTGTTTTTCCTGCCAAAACTCGTTGCATCAAGATAGATGCAGTTTTGCTGGAGCCGTTTTCCTTTGCTTCAGGGAAAGGATGACAGTGCAAGATATAACACAGTCTGAGTTTGCACATTAGCTTTAGATTACGTGGTTGGATACTGGCAGAAGCTAGTTTTGTTTCTTCATACTGCAGTTTCTTACGTTCTTCCCACCCCACAAAAGCCCACTCCTGAGGGTTGGGAAAGGATGTGGTGCAGGAAGATACAGCCCGAAGGTAGAATCTGCAGACTTCCATGTATACCACAAATTCCCAGCTCCTTCTCACTGCAGCCTGTGTTGTCCTAATGGTTTCTTGGCCCTCAGGAGCACAGATTTTGGGGGAGCTTAGAAGACTGTACTGGTGAGGGAACAAAATTACTTCTGTGAACCTGTTTTGTTTGTGATAATATAAGATCTTAAGAATTACCTTTGTAAATCAGATCAAGGTCCACCTATGCCAGGATTCTTTACAGGAATCCTGGCAACCAGTGTACACTTGGTGATCTATCAGTGGGTTACAGTCTACTTCTTGCCCACACCATTTTAAACCATTTGACCCAGCTATGACTAAGTAGATTGCCACTGATTACAGTTTTCTCGGTTCATGAAAATCATTCCTATGCTGTAAATATTTTTGTAGTATAGTTAATTGTGTAAATAAAAAACTTTTTTTAAAAAAGTCAAGCTGACTTCAAAATGCATACAGGCTGTTATACAAATGCTGCTCTTCTACTTTAAAATCATAACCAAAGCCATGGAAACGAAGACTTATTTGCTAACCTTGTCCGGGTATTTTTAATAGAATGTCTTAGAAAAGTGTAGTACTTCTGTACAGCCAGAGAGGCTTCTGCCTCACGCTTCTAAATTAATCAGTGTTGTAACTTTTGGCTGTAATTCGGGGTTCAGAGAAAAAAAACAACAATATTGAAAAATGCTGTAATGCTTTGGTATTTACCCTCATTTCCCCTTCATGCTGAATCTCATGACTGCATATCAGCTAATGCAACTTTTTAGTGTAGAAGTTGCAAGTAATTCACATCAGCATCTAATTGTGCTGAGCATAGTATAGTACCCCTGTTTCAAAGTGCTGGCAGACAAGTTTGTTGACACAAGGAGTTGTATTCATTTATGATGAACTCTTTATCCTAATTAAACCCACAGTAGGCAGGAGGTTGTATAGGACACCCTGGATTGGCTTTAAATCAAGTTGACATTCTTTGAATACTCTAAAGCAACAGCAAGCTTGATTAACTCCATTGTTCTATATTCACACTCAAGAATTTTCACTGGTGCAACCTTCTGGGTGGGGAGTGTCACGGGGAGGTGATAGACGCAGTAATATGGGCCTAGCTTCTAAGATTATATGGCACAAAACAGAAGGGTAATGTCTTATTTTTATTCCTGTGCTTGTGACAAAACTAATATCCTTTTGGGGTCCTTTTAGCACAGTCTCAGCAGTTGAGGGTTCTATACAAAATGCTCTATAAGAATTATGATGTGGGACTCCGGCACTGCATTTAACTCAGCATGGGAGCAATCCACCCAAATGCTGTTGCTACATAATTTCACTTCATTTCAGTCGAACTTGAATTTCTGCACAAAACCGTCTTGGAACAGAAGGTGACTGCTCAACAGCAGTGTTTGGATTTAGTCCCCTTACATTTGGCTGGTGCTGTTAGTGCCTTTTATTAGTTTGTCTTCTTCTCTAATCTCTGTTGGAATAGAAAGTGAAATGCTGGGTATTTATGTTCACTGATCTTAATGAATTAAACGACCTTTGCTGGCAAGTAGATAATATACAGAGATGCAGTGGGAGGCATAACTAAGTAATAATAATAATGGGGAAAGCCTAAACCATTGTTAGTGGAGAACAAAGGCTACCCCGCAGAGCATACCGCAGTTTGTGTTGCATCCATGCTGACAAGAAGACAGCCTTTCTTAAATCAGATGGTTTAGTGCTCTGTTGCTTTATTGAAACATAGAAACCTTCTGCAGCTAATTTCTGTTTGAGAGCAGTTACCTTTCAAAATATTTTTCAGTAAGTTCTTGCTTTTTATCATTGTGTGTTGGTCTGTAGAAATTACTTTCCAAATAAAAGCACAAGGAAAGTTAATACAGGTTTGTTGAAGGCTTTTAACCTTGCCCTTCCCAAGAAGCACAGGACAAGTAATAACTTTTTCCAAGCAATTTACAAAATATACACACATCCCCCTGCATAGGTTCAGCGCAGACATATGGCTGGATCTGGCAGTATATGAGCACAAGGATCTCTGATCTTTGCCTTGTTGTCTTTCCTCCAGCAGTCCTTTGTGATCCTGTGAAAGTTGATTTCCACGTGCAGTTTGTCTTCTTCTGATGGATCAACTCATGATTTGTGGGCCTTAGCAGAGTTTGTATTAGATGTGTTCCAGACCTAACTAGGGCTCCCATCTAGTCAGGGTTTGAAGTGGGCTTGCAGACAGTAGTTAAAATGGCATTAGTATGAATCATAGTTGTCAGTGTCACCTATATCTGTCTGTCTGTCTGTCTAAAAACTCTCAGGATGACAAGAGAAAGGAGGAGGAATTTGTGTTGTAGAGTAGGAGACTGAAAAACTGCCAAGCTGGTTTCTGATTTGCAGGCTATAGTTTGAAAGATGTCAGTATTGAGTTTGTACCAGACTAAATGCATGATAATACTGGATATACATATGTGTATCTCTTGTGTAATTTCCAAATCATCAGAAGTTGCGTATCTCTACATTGATTCCAATAAGTATTTTGATTTGGTGAACTTCAGAAGAAGAGAATTTCAAAACTGGTGAATGCCAGCAAGCACAGCTGGAAAAGACAGGCAGCAGGGAATTGACTCACTGCATAGACAGCACCATCAGTAGGGAACCAGAGCTGCAGTGAAGCACAGGGCATGAAGTGGTATATAAAGCCTGACAGATCAAAGTAGCACCTTGGATTGTTCCTGAGAAAGCTAATTTCTGTCAGGAGGCAGGCTGTTGAAATTCATGCCAGTTGCAACTATCAGAGTAAAGATTATAAAGATATAACTAGTTCCTGTGTCACAATGTTCAAAAATAGAAAAGTAGATTTTTCTCCACAGAGTTAGAAGAGTGTGTTCTAGCCATTGTCTGGGCAGTCTTGTCAGCCATTCCAGTCAGGATTGAAGAAGAGATGGAATCTGATCTCATTGAAAAGTGCCAGTCAAAGTCTTTGACACCCAACCCAGCAAGAGTACTTGACAGTCTTGGATACAGCCATATATTGAAGTTTGATTTATTTTGAAAATGAAAGTTAACTAAGAAAACATTTCTGTTGCTCATAATAGTCACAAAATGAAAATACATAGGCAGCCATTTTAAGCAACAGCCTTCTTTTATGGTTCGAGAGGGTGATGCTACTTTTCAGGATATAGTGAAGGACTTCTTTCCAGCAGTAAATTGGGCATAAATGCAGGAAATTATTCAAATTTGGTTGATTGTTATAAGGTTTGTCTGCTTATTTATGTGTACTATGCTTTGAAACATAAATCCTGAATCTTTGTTTGGTTGAAATGTCCCCTCTAGAAGCTAGCGTTCAACAAGAATACTTTTAACACTTATCTTTAAAGCTCTTTATCGATCCTTTATCTGAGCAACATGTTCTTTATTTTTGCAGTGATAGCGATGAGGAAAAGAAATCTAGAAGAGGTAAATCCCCAAAAGGTGAATTTAAAGACGAAGAGGAGACAGTGACGACAAAACACATTCATATTACACAAGCTACAGAGACCACCACCACCAGACACAAACGCACAGCAAATCCTTCCAAAACCATTGACCTGGGAGCAGCTGCTCATTACACAGGAGACAAAGCAAGTCCAGACCAAAATTCTGCAGCTCATACACCACAGTCTACAGCAAAGGTAGGAGAGCTACCAAAAAGCATGATTATAACATGATTGAATTCACATTCATCCTAATCAAAGCTGTTTTCATTAGAAGTACACTTGGAGTTTTCTAGTATGTCTTGTGGGAGTAACTCACTGACAACAGTCGTTATTTCCTATGGATGGCAGAAAGGACCATGTCTACTGCCCATAGGTGATAATAGGCCCACTATTTCTTATGGGGGTAGAGAGACCAGATCTGCCGTACAGGAATAAAGAGAATTTTGTTTTGGCTGTCAAGTTGCAGCTAACTTAATGGCTTCAAGGCGAGAGATGTTCAGAGGTGGTTTGTCAACCTCTGCATACTGACCCTGGACTTACTTGGTGATCTGCCATTCAAGTACTAACTATGGCTGTCCCTACTTGACTTCCAAGATTTGAGGAGACTGGGGAATCCCTTTAAATTGTAAAGGGAGGGAGATGCCACCAAAGAGCTGTTTGGCAGACAAGCTTCTTCTCTGTTCTTCTTGGCTTCAATGACCCAAAACACTCCCCAAATTCTGGGAGATAATTTTCCTTAGTGCCAGAACTTGGGATTGTTTGGGCTATCCCTGAGCTCACCTGAAACAAAAGCTTCTTCTCTGTTCTTCTTGGCTTCAACGACCCAAAGCACTCCCCAAATTCTGGGAGATAAATTTTCCTTAGTGCCAGAACTTGGAATTGTTTGGGATATCCCTGAGCTCACCTGAAACAGCTGATTTCCAGTTTATGTTTGGCTCAGGTATCTCCAAGTGCCCACACATAAAGGGTGGTCTTCCTTTGATTCCTGGGGTAATCTTTCCCTTATCTAAGATTCTGCTCCCTGCTCATGTCTACTGGTAGGTAAGCAACCGTTAGGGATGGCAGAAGCATCTCCTTATCAACTATATTTCTGGCATTCACTGTCCCACTTTCTGAAAAAAAGATTGTCTACCCACGCTGATCAGTGTGTAGAATTGATTACAATAATAAGTGGCTGACCTGAAGTCAATCAAGTTGCTCTTACTAGTGCAGAATTCTGCAGAATGCATTTTAGCAAGTTTGGGAAGGAGAAACACAGTGGACCTCTTCAATTCAATTGATGAAGGTTACAGGTCACCTTCTAGGCCCATTTTAAGATTTCTGATATTGCCTTAAAAACCCTCGCTGGCTTGGGATCCACCTGTGTGTATTGTGTATTGCATAATTACTACCACTAATGTTGGTGTGTAGGAAGCTCCTATAGCTGATTTACTGAAGTGCATATTTAGATTACTTCATGCCCTTTGTTTGCTTGCATTCATGTAAGTGATAGAACTTTGAATAATTTAGCTAAATGATTTAGCCAGAAGGAGGCAAGAGTGAATTTACAAAGGATCAGTGCCCATTAGGCTATAGGCCAAATTAAAGAACAGGTGAAAGTTGCTTAAGGTGTCCTGTTCTCAATCATATTGCCTATTGTATTCCATAACAACAAATTCTAAGCACTTAATCCCACTAAACTTCACAGTCCCACAAATAAAATGGGGTTGTCTACAGGTATGGTACAGGTTTGGACCTCCTTGGGAGATGTCCCAGTAGGGTTGCAAAATGGGCTGAGCTCGTCGGGGAAACCATATGGTTTTCCCCCGACGAGCCCGGCCACGCCCCCAACATCAGCAACGTCGCATGTCCCTTCTGGTGATGTGCTGCCGGCATGCGCGCGTCATCGCAACCTCCTGGACGCCGGCAAGGCTTCCCCGCTCCGAGGGGTGAGTCAATTTGGCAACCCTATGTCCCAGTTATGAAGAAAGATGTTCATTTGTAAACTTAAGGGGAAGAGGGCAAACACAGTGACCTAGAGAGCACTGAATGTTGAGCAATGTTCATTCAGTTAAAGGGGGGCAGTGGGGGGTGAGGGTGCCTAATTTGGAGTGGGAGGTTAGGTTCAGGGGATATGTATAATGATCCCCACCCCATCCTGGGTACTATGAGCTTTTTTAAAGACTGACCACTAAAAGGTCCTAGTAAGGGGACTATTCAGGATCAGAAGTGAAAGTGTTTCCTCCAGTCCTCATTAATCACAACCACCACTGACTCTTTAAGCTGCTAAAGGAACACGGTCACAAACTATTTATAGCAGCCTGCAATGTGAGGTAAAGTTAGAGCGTGCATGTTGTAGACCCCACCAACCGAAGGGTGATCTTGGGCCAGTCACAGTTCTCTCAGAACTCTCTCAGCCTCACCTACCTGCCAAGATGCCTGTTGTGGGGAGAGGAAGGGAAGGTGATTATAAGCCAATTCAAGTCTCCTTAGGGTAAAGAAAAGCGGGGGGTACAAACAAACACTTCTTCTAATTCCTTTTGCCTTCCCAATTTACTCATATAGTACAGGAAGGGAGGTGTAAAACTGTCTCCTCCTGTGTTGTATTGCTGGGGTTCCATGCTAGATGATTAGCCTCCTGTTAGTCTGAAGCTTTAGAAGTAAGGATTAATGAGCTTTAGAAGTAGACAGCTCTGGTTCAAGACCAGGTGAGCCAGGAGTTTCTCGCCTAGTCCAAGGACCGTGCTAGTGTGCTATGGGGGGGTCCATTTATTTCTCTTCCCTTTTTCCCCCTGCAGTTCTTACAGACTAATTTTTTTCCATAGGCATAACCTGGGGGCCTAAGAACACTTTGCATTTTTAGGCAAAACAGGCTGTGATGCTCAGAAAGGTGCTTTGGTCCTGTTTTAAGTGATGTCAGTTGAGCTAGAAGCACTTTCCTGTATGGCATTGTACATGCCCAGTAACTTGTTTATGCTGGGTTATTTCACTTGCATGTGGCCATAGTAGTCTCCTAGTCCAAGGACCGTGCTAGTGTGCTATAGGGGAGTTCATTTATTTCTCTTCCCTTTCCCCCCCTGCAGTTCTTACTGACTCATTTTTTTCATAGGCATAACCTGGGGGCCTAAGTCCACTTTGCATTTTTAGGCAAAACAGGCTGTGATGCTCAGAAAGGTGCTTTGGTCCTGTTTTAAGTGATGTCAGTTGAGCTAGAAGCACTTTCCTGTATGGCATTGTACATGCCCAGTAACTTGTTTATGCTGGGTTATTTCACTTGCATGTGGCCATAGTAGTCTGTAGCCTATTCAGGTTATTTTGCTGGTGTGCTAACGTTGTTCTCTATCAACTGCCAAATTTCCTTAAATCCAGGGGTATGAAATTTCTGTTTTTTACTTCTCTCTGTAGCTCTTCTGGATTGATTGCTCTCAATTATTTTGCTTGTCCATCCTCAATAAGTGCACTGGAGGGAACTTCTTCCTTTAAGGCAAATTAAGTAGACAAATTACTTGCTTTAATCAATAAAGTTGTAATGAGCAGGTTTTCTAGAAACCCCTCAGGTGGTGCATCGAGTTTTATCATAAATGCACTTGACTTTGTGCCAAGGTTCATAGAATATTAAAAATGACATTGTGCTCCAGGAAAAGCACTCTCACACATGTTGCCATTCTTTGTAAGTTCATGCAGAAATCTAGATTTAATGTCAGTGATATTGGAGGACGCCATTGCTCTATGGTGAACTGTGTGTGTGTAAGAGAGAGAGTGAACCCATGGGTCATATTAGTAAACTCATTCCCTCCCTTGTGATAAGAGATAAAAATTTCTCTGAAAAGGTTGTTTAAATCTATACCTTCTGTAATCTGAGATCTAGCTTTATAATAAATTCGGCACATCTGATAAAGCTGAAGAACATAGCTGCCATCTTAAGAAATAGGAAGCACATTATCCCCATTACTGAATACAATTTGGCAGGACTTACTTTCTTGGAAGTAAGCATTACAAACTGATAGAGGTTTTTTCCAAGTACATACTTTGGGATGCTGTGTTCAAATGTCAGGTTGTCTCTGAGGTTTCAGGGTCCCTTAGGAAACTAGTATTTTAGTCAGCTCTCCATTTTTAATGAAAATAATCACAAAATAATGGAAACAGTACTTAGAGAATTAAAAAATTTTCTAAGTACCCACAAGATTCTATAAATGTATCTAAAGTTGAATATTTCGCATTTATATAGCCTGTAGGTGATGGCAGAAAGTGTCATCAAGTTACAACACACTTATGGTGCCCTGTATGGTTTTCAAGGCAAGAGATGTTCAGAAATGTAAAATTTCTGGGAATTTTGAAGCTACTGAAAAAGGTGTTGATTGTGTGGGCAGATTTGGGAGAAAATGCAGTGCTTACTTTCCTATCAAAAGAATCAGCAAAAGAATCTAAACTTCTTTTGCTGATGTAACAATATTAAATGCATCATGAATAACTTGGCATATAAAATGATATTTTGCATGCATATGGAATTTAAAAGTGAAAATGTCTTTATTTTCTAAAAGAAAAAGTGCAAATATACCCAGTACTTGAGAAAGAGTTGAAATTGCTGCATGTGAGGCTTCCATAATGTGTACCTCAGTTCTTGCCATCTGAGAGGTAGGAAAAGTTGAAGATAGAAAACAAATTCTGTAGTAAACAAAAGAAAGGGTGTTGTTTGGAAAGAAACATTGTCACAATAGGGAGCATCACCAGCATATTTTGATATTAAACTTTATAACATGGAGAACACTGAACTCTTTAATATTGTATTAAAGACATTATAGTATATTACATTTAAACAAAAAGCGTTCTTGAAAATACACCCCTTTTTGTTTTTAACATTAATTGTGTAAAAATTGATTTTCTGCCAAATAAAGGCCATCACAAAAAGGCATTTTTGCTCCAGCTCTTATTCAGATTATCTCTCATTGCAAACTGTCTCCATAGATACGCCTTCAAATTATTTTATTTGAGGCCTATAAGATCCTTTAACCTCATTCATAACTATATTTCTTATATCTCTTATATATTTCTTGTGTTTGTCTGTAGGTTCCAGGCAGCAGATCATCTAATGACCTGGTTGATCTTTTGTTTGATGGTGCAGATCAGTCAGTCTCAACAGGTAAATGACACTTCATTCTGAGAAACTGCTTTAGCCACAAGTCTGTATTTCTTAATACTGGAGTAATGGAAAGACTGGAGTGTTATGAAGCTATGGAAAATGATATGAGTCACTTAAATATTGAGCTGTGCATATATTTATAGAATCGCAGGCAAATTACCATATTATATAGATTAATAATAACCATAACACCTTAGAAAGATTCACAGCTAAGTCACTGTCACAAAATGCAGCGGCTAGAATGCGGTGTTATTCATAATTAATTCTAAAAGCGTGTAATCCAGTCAGGTTTCAGCACTTCTCATGTTACACATTAAGAGAGATGCAGCATTAGAAATGGATGACTTCCATGCACAAGTCGCATCTAATGTATATGGCAAAAGTGAACCCAATGCTTCTATTGTCATCATTCTGATGACTCTTGGAAATCTCGGAAGCTCCCAACTGATGCTGCACTTAGTTCCAAGCTTTATTTTTATTCTATATACTGAAGTGCAGGTTTGGTAAATGAACAGCCCAGTCAGGGCAGCATAAGGATTATCTGTGGCTGGCATGAAATATTAAAGGGGTTCTATTCATACATTTTTGTACCAGTAGAATAGCAATTGGCAGAATAATCAACCATAGAGCAGATGTCTGAATGCTAATAAGTGATAGTTGTGTAATGGATGTCATGATGAAAAAGCTACTATGAATTGAATTAGAGAAAGTATGATCTTATGGACCATGAATGCCCATTTTTTCCAGTTTTCTCTTTGCACCAGCGGACAGCATCAGATGACCCCCCCCCAAAAAAAAAACGTCTGGTGCTGGGAACTGGGGAGCCTCATGGACTAGATGCCATGAGGCACAGAGGACTGCAATGGGGAAATGGAATTGGGTGAAAATAGCCAATTTGTGGTCCTAGGGGCAGGGAAAGGAGTAAAGGCAAAAGAGGAGAGGATAAACAGAGTCAGCACATGGTTGGAGTGAAACAGGCCCCAGCTTTATTGTCTCCAGCTATTGGAGCATTGGCACAGCATATGGGGCAGTCCCAACATCAGGTGACTGGCCTGTTGACCAATGGCCCAAACCCTTTCCCAGTCCACCTGCTGGGAAACAATGTGGAATAGCAAGTCCAGTGGGATCCTACATGGATGCAAGCCACTGTGTGGTTCCCCTGCCAACTGAGAGCAAAGCCAGACAACAGCCTCTGAGCTGGGCAAACCACTGAACAGCTCCACCCCATGACCCCTTAAGGGGGTCCCCAAAATGTGAAAGTGGGCACACAGACATAGTTTTGCCCAAATTGATCCATTCTAGTGGCCAAATCACCCTCACCTAAAGTTGTGATGATAGCATGCCAACACAAAGAGAATCCTGAAATTAACACAGTGCCAAGGACGCAGTGCCAAGGACGGCGGAAGACCGGAAGGCCTGGCGTGATCTGGTCCATGGGGTCGCGAAGAGTCGGACTCGACTGTGCAACTGAACAACAACAAAGAATGCATACAACCAAAGAAGGGAGGGAGAAGAAGCTGAGCTCCTTGTGCGAGCCTGGACAGCAGCACCTGACATAAAAGGGTGTTGAGCAGACTGGAGTGAAGACTCCAGTCTCCAGGTCCTCCCTGGAAGCCCATTCCTCCAGCCCAGCCACAACGGCCTGTGATTGGCCAGCAGGGCCTCTACCTGAGCCTGCCCAGGAGAGCCCTGGCCACTGGGAGGGAGAAGAAACCTTCCCCTGTTTTGCCCGCTCTCAGCCCAGCAACTGCAAAAACAGCCCCTAGTAAGTCTGGGGCCATTGCTTCCCTCTCCTGCCAGTTCCTCTGTGCACACTGCAGTTTTGTACATAAAGCTTACCTAAATCCACTACCAGCTTGGGAGAAGGGGAAGGTGGAATATGTAGTAGGCTATGGTTTCTATGTAAAATCATTCCTCAGAAAGTTGTAATGTAACAATAATAACCATATTAGTGGGCAGATTGAAGAATTTCCTTCTTTATCTTCATGGCTCCTTCTTCTTGGTTCCCTAAATATTAAAAATCTCTAGCCCTGGGAAGACAGGATTAGAAGGCATCCCACCCAGCAGCTACTAAAGCCATTAATGAAGCAGCTGGAGCAACAGGGGTCTAATATTAGAACTGTGGAGGGAAATACAGAAAGTCCACTTTTGCTAGAGCTCTTGTACAAGTGGAAATGTGAGAAAAAGTGCTAAGTCAATCTTATTGTTTCCCTGCTTGTGTTTCCACTTGCACAAGACATTGTACATCCAATTTCTGGCTGCTATAATGTACAGGGATGAAAATGTTAAGGCTTACGCAAGCCCTGCAAAAAGGTGGGTATTCATCTAATAAATAGGGGGAAAATCTGTTTGTAAAAATCTTATTCCAGTTATCTACAAATGAGAACCCCCTGCTCTCAAAAGTTATCTCTCGCATCCAAGGTATCAGGTTAAACACAGAGACTGATGATCCAAAGGTTTCATACAACAGGGCCAATGCAGACCTTTGCATGCCCGCCCCCCCCCCATGGAATACCTTCCGGGGTGGGATTCAATGGAATTCGAAGAACTGCAGTTGCAAAGAAGATGTGGCAGGCCCACTCCCACACATACACACTCTGAGTGAAAGCTCTTTGGATCCATTGTAGAAATACCATCATCTATTAACAGTTCATTTACTAAAGGAGCCAAGGGTTTCTTTTCCTGTTAGACTGAGTACATGGTTTTTAAAGCTATGTTAAGTGAAACTAGAATTTTGTATGTTTCAAAAACAGCATGCTAGCTGATTGTAAAGATCCTTTCTTGCTGTTGTGAAACCTTTTCTTGATTTCCCTGCTACAGTGGAAATCAGTGTTTAACCCTCTTTCTAACATCAGTCTATAGGAGATAGAGAGGAAGCATGCTACCAGCTGGCCATCACAAATAATGTCTCTGCTTCCCTAAGGAGGCAGATGGAAGGAGTTAATTTATAACGACAGGTCTCACATGGGAGTCTTCGAGGCCAAGTGGTGTGGTGGAGATTAGCACTGTCCTTCATAAGCAGGTCACTTTTACTGACCATTGAGCTACTTTCTGCACAGGCTGTGTAAATGCACCTTTTGTGACTTGCATGAAACAGTAAAGAGTGCAAAACCAGACTTTGATCTGCCTTGTTAAATGTATCATGTTCTTAAGCATCTTTGGCAGCAATTGCCAAGCAGCTAGTCTACATCTGCCATATGAAAACAGGAAGCATCTTTTTTTTTCTTTTTTCTTTTTTTGAGAATCATGGTTCTTGTAATAAAGTACCAGATGAGTAGAGTAGTACTAGTGTAAGCAAACTAAAGATTCTGGAAGGGGAGATTGGATTGGAATGGCAAATATAATCATCATACAGATCTAACTAATTTGATTGTAGTTATTACTTCAACTTTCAGAGTGCTGAGATCGGGAGAAACGTATAAGCTTCCTCCTAAAAGGCTTACAAGCCTAGGAATTACTTTAAAAAAAAAACAACCCAAGGATATACAGGACAACTAGTTCTAGAAATTAATTCTCACAAAACACTGTGTGCACGGTTGAAAAGCTGAATTATTTTTCTTGACCTCAGTGTACTGGCACTCTGACTACCCAAAGATATGTAGTTATGGCAACATATGTAAAATGTTCTATGGCAGTCTGCACTTGGTGGTCATATATGCTGGTTCTGCTACTTTTACCTGTTAGGTGAAAATCCATTCTCAAAGGTTGCTACCCAGACTTAGGTGGCGCTGTCCTCTTCAGGAACTCTGTCACTCAACAGGTTTGTGACATGTTTTGTCGGGAAAAGGTAGCTGTTGACCCACACCAATGCATGACTTTAGTTTGATGGTAGCTGTGTTGGTACAGCGTTAGTGGTGCTGCATTTGCAATCCCACAGCTTTATAGATTTGCTTTTGCTTGGTAGCATCCTTGCCCAAGATAGGTATAGCTATCTATGCTTGTCAAACAGCTGTGTGGGCAAACATGTTCAAAAACCTAAAAATCTCTGAAGTTTCTAATTCAGGTGTGCTTGCTTATGTGTGCCACATGAAAGAATGTTTATCTTCTGATTAGCCAAATGTATTGAATGCCCCCAGATTATTTGGATAAATGAAGTGTAGCTGAGCATTTTCATACATTTTCAACCAACTTCCCATAATGATTTAAAATCAATTCTAGTAAGTGCCCAATCTGTCTCTAATGCATGGTTTACAAAAGCATTCACCTTAAAGAAAAAATCTTTACCGCTTTGTGAGTATGTACGTTCTGAAGGTAGATGCTGATATTGGCATCTGAAATTTTATGTATGCTTTATAGATATTGACTGAAAATGGTTTTAAAGTGTGCATGTAGTATAAGGGAAACTGTTTCTTTTATTATTGCTAGCCATTTATTTAAAAAGGAGATAGTTCTAGTTTAATTAACCCAGTTGAGAGCAGCAGATGGGGCAGAATGTCTTGTAGTGATAAGACAATTCTGAAATGGCACCAGATGTTAGAAGCTGTCCCTGGTGGTGTTTGAGTGCAACACAGATGTTACAGTCCCACCTGGCTAGTTTCTAAGCACTGCAGGCTAAGCAGCTGTGATGTAACCCATATAATGTACGCAAACACTAAAAGCAGAATAATTGAGCTGCTGCTACTCCTTCGAAAGATATGACTACTTGGAGGTGAAATCTTTTAAGGACAAACTGTGGCAGCTAAGCCAACTTTTTTTCATTCTTTCTGAAGTATGACTCGCCAGTATATTGTAGCTAGAAGACAACCAGACAGTCTAAATAGTGGCTGTTTCACACAGAACATTTCACTCCATGTAGAAAAATCTTTCTCTATGTGAAAAGAAACACACACACACACTGTTTTGGGTGAAGTCAGCCTTAGTGTTCAACTTTCCTGTGAACACCATGGTCCAGGGTTTCCTGATCTGCACTTTTAAGATAAATGGCACATTCCCAGACTTCATATAAAAAAGTGTACCTACTCTTCTTCCTACATGGAAGTGGTCCCCCTTATGGGAAAGAATGTCACTTGTGAAGCAGCTCTGACTTTAATCTGATAAATGTATTTTATCAGACTTGTGTCCAACATGGATTATATCAGGGTTTTCTACCATGAGTTGTAAAACAGGCTGTAAGAAAGAATAGAATTCTATATTTTGATGTAAATAATTTACTGGTAGCTTACAAATGCACATTGGGACTTTTGTGTCCTGCTTTGGAAAGGAAGCAGCCTAATAGTTTGAAATCATGAATCTGAAATCATTGGCACATCATTTATGCTTAAAGTCGCACAGGGGCTGTGTGGAAGAAGACTTTAAATTTTTCATTTCTGGTGGTGTGATAAGCGAATAAAAGAATTCCTCCAGTATAAACCTGTTTTGTATGCTAAAGCTCGTTCCTTTTGGAATTAGTCTAATCTTTACTGTGTGGTATTTTTGTCAAGCCTCCCCTGGCCCTATAGCAGTTTTTTGTTCCCTGAAGTTTCATTTATCTTTATAAATTATTCCTGAAATGAGTGCATAATAAACCTCTTGTTTTGAATTGGTGTACAAGTGATAAGTTGGGAGGAACAGTTCATCAAGATTTCTTCTTAAAAAGGAGACAACTAAGGAAGCAGGTTTAGACCATGTGCTTGCTTCAGAAATTTTGGTTTTGATAGTACTTAGTATTTCCGTTACATTGTGTGCTGTCTTGTGCTTCCATATCTAAATGCATTTTCTTTTTCATATGTCTGCTGAGATAACCATCTGTCACTAGGGCTGCCAAATCCCCCCGGGGGGCGGAAAATCCCCCACCCCAGAGGCCCGTTCCCAGACGCCAGGGAATCGGGCCCCAGGGGGAACCCCGCCCCGGCGTGCGCGTCACAGGGCAGTGACGTCATGACGCTGGGCACGCTGGGGGCGGGGCCACAGCCATACAAGGGAAAACTCTATGGTTTTCCCTTGTATGGTTATGGCCCCGCCCCCAGTGTGCCCGGCGTCATGATGTCATTGCCCTGTGATGCGAATGCGGCGTGCGCACACACACACGCCGGGATCCCCCAGGAGTCCCCAGCTGGCGAGGTAAGTCACAGTTGGCAACCCTATCTGTCACCCATGTGGACTAATTTTTATTTAATTTTCATAATAATTTGTAGTGCTGTGTTACATTCTTATGTATACAAAAATAGTACACTTACATGAAACTCCCTGCAACGACTAGTTAAAGAAGAACACAATCAACTTTCAGAGTCCAGTTTGCAGGATTTCTATGGGTTTTTGTAGTACAACATGACAACACAGAAATGTGGCTCCTTTTGCACCAACAAAGATTTTGAGGAATTTTCAGGGCCCATATGCAAATGTTTGTTACATGTGTCACCATGGCACAGTTAGCTCCAAAGGTAGATGATAGCTTAGTATGTAATCCACCAAGCTTTGCAAAGAGCGGTCACACAACAGGATTTAATATGTCTCAGTATTTCCAGTAAATCTTGGTATACCTGGTGCTTGGCATACAATAAATTTAAATTTTAAATTTTATACTATGTTGAGTAGCTACAAATTTTTCTAAACAGTTCCTGTCAGCTGTTACTGAAAGAGCTATCTGTTCCAGTAACAGCCTTTTAATTGCTTCTGGTTTTAGGTGGATCCACTGACCCCTTTGGAGGGTTTGCTGACTTCAGTTCTGAAAGTTGTCCCCCTTCACAAGGTATAAATTCTATTGGTGGTAAAGCTAATTTTGAAGGGATGATGTAAAAAGCAACTTTACTGTTTGGCTGTTTGATCAGAACTCTTTTTTAGTATCCGGTTCTCATGTAGATGGTGCTAGACAGATGAGTTGTTGAGTTGCTTTGGGGGTTTGATAACTTTCACCTTGTAAGAGGCTTTGTTTGTCCTTTACTTCATCCTTACAGTAGAAAATTGAATTATTAGTATTCCTGCAACAATTCACAAAACTTTTTTTTATTGTCAATGGCCACATATGGCAAAGAAACTACTGTACACATTTCTGTACATCAGTGATTGAGAAAAACATAATAGTTGTATAGCAAAAGAGTAGTCCTTTGGGATGCAACTTGTGAATTCCAGACTCCTTGTGAATTCCAGTTGTGAATTCAAGACTCCTTTGCTTAATTCATGCCCACCGTTTCGCTTCTCCTGTTATCAAGCAATTGCCATTCTGTTAGGTATGCAGATAGTCCCAATAATAAACTTTAATTTACAAGCTTTCCTTACATATAAATTAGCCCATTTGGAAATATTAAACAAATGTTAAATATTGTTTCCATGGGAGGCTTGATATTACCCTGAATCAAATAATTTCATTGCTAGAAAATAGTATTTCTCTTATTGGGTTTATACAGCTCTTGTGTTTCACAGAGCCATCTTTTCTATGAACCCAAATTATAAGTGTTTTAATCTTTATCTATTACAGGGAACCATAGACTTCTTCTGGTAACTTTATCAAGTAATTTATGTGATTGATGCTTGCTCTGATATATTAACTTAACATTAAGTTAATATTCTGTTATTTATTTTTTATTTTATTTGTCTGGGTGTTTTGTTTCCAAGGTTGATAAAAAGTTCTAACAGACACAAGCTTTTTGCCAGTTATATAAACTTGAATAAAGTATCAAAGGAACTGCTACTCAAATCCCAGCTCCTTGGTTAACATCAGGAGCATGATCTTTTCTGTAATGGCACTTATTTCGTAGGCAAGTTTTTAAAAAGTTAAGTTTCAGAATATTTTGGATGCACCTTGTGTATTTTAATTCATCTCAACATTTTGTAAGCAGTTACAAAAAATGTTATCCACTATTTTACTTTCACATGTATGGTTGGTTTGATTTTTTAAAAACCTTTGTTGCTGGCCTCTTAACAGATTTTAAATAAAGCTGGGCAAACATGTTTTATACATAAATTTTGATAGAATACATAGTAAGTTTGAAGAATACGATTGGAAAGCCATGTGGGGTAAATAAGTTCCGCTCTGATTGTAAAATTCTTTTATAGTCTAGTCCTAAAGAGATTGTTCTTGTTGATGCTGCCATAGGGAGGGATCAACATAGAAGCTTCCCTGCACCATTCTTGCCTTTGCCCCCCACTGGTGGCTGCCAGTTCCCCCTGTGCCACTGAAGGGCTTTTTCTTGTTTTTCAAAAATCGATAATAGCTACATCAACATAACACTGTAACATAATGATCTGTTGCAACAATGTAGTAGGTCCTAGCTTTAATTTTTAGAAAGGTAAGTCTCTAGCTGTTTTGTTGTGGATTTATAAGGGAAAATGTGCACCCTGCACCTTCGCCTTATAATTGTGCAGCAAAAAAAGGGCTAGAGACTTTATATAAAATGAAAGGTGCAAGTTAATAAGAGAGCATTTTTTGTACAACAGTGAACTAACAGATGCTTTAGGCAAGATGTCCAACTAGGACGAGAAGCGTGACTGTGCTAATTTGTTTGCATTGATTTAAGTTCCATGCAACCTAAAAATTGCCTCGTGTGAGGACAGAGACTTCACATTAAGATCTTTCTGCAGGAGTGAAGGAGCTTGTGCAAATGTTCTGATTAGCCCTTAGTTATTGTGTGTTCATCTTGAAATGTCCCTCCTGCCCCCCCCCCCACCAACACTCATAATAACCACTCTGGCTTAGATCCTGAGATGCCATTCCATTTGCACAGCAACAGCTCCTGGACTAAAGCAGTTTTTTCCATCTGGAGAGGAGAGAGAATTTTGCTGTTTCCCCCTTCCTGCTGCAGACACCCAGTTCATTCCCCACACTGTTCTTTTGATTCCACTGAGCCTCAGGAACACAACTTCATGGACCACAGAAGGCTTCAGTGAGAAGTGGGGAAGTTACCTTTCCTCTAGCACAATTCTACATGTTCTGGTTAGGATCCAAGCCTGTAGTATCTACACAGCACCCTCCCTTAAAAAGGGGTGTAATGCATTAATATTGTTCTTCTTGGAGTCCGTTGTTTGTTTAATTCCTTGGGAAAACAGGTGAAAATTGTTCTATTATAAGGCTTTTAGTCTAGAAGCACTGACTGTTTTTCTTTTCAGATATACATTGTCTTGGGGGCAGGATCCAATCTGAATTGAGAATCTAAGCCCTTAAATGCTTGAAGCTGTGCTGTTCTATCTTGATTTTACTGTTTACTGAAAATGGAGGTTTGGGGCTTTGGAAGCCTATTATGCAAATAATGCAATCTAACATGAGATATTCCTTTATCAGTATTAATATGATTAATCTATACTGATCACCATTATGCAAGGAGCCAGCAATGATTAATCATTCTTGAACAATAAAGCCCCTCTAGAACTTAGTTGATTAATCATCTTTGGTAAAGTTCCCAAAAGAATGTTAACAAATTCCTCTCCATTCTCCCCACTTTCTGAATATGTGTGTTTGGATGTGAGCATCCAGTAACTGGAGAATCGGCACATTCAGCATTTACTTATCCATCAGGAATACTTAAAGTGTGCTTAAATTTTTAATAGGCAGTACTAATTGAAATACTCCCAATAAAAGTCCCTTTTGTAGGGCAGATCAAGGCAAAAATGTTTTGTTATGGCCCCAAGCTAATGAATTTCAGCCTACTACTTGCATTAAAGCAGACTTTAGAGCATACATATTTGTTAATATTCTTTTGCTTCCCTTCCTTACTGAAACTCCGGTCTACCCATGAAGGTAAAAATAATAAGATGTTATGCCCAGGTGCACAGGTACTTTAAGAAATATTGACATGAGATGAAAATTATAGATTAGATAAAATAAAAATTTAAGATTAGCTAAGTGAGATTCTAGCTAATAGGTAAATTTGTAAATTGTTAATTTTTAGCCAGCTATATAGGCCAGATTATTTTGAAGTAAGTAGGGTCTCATCTCTGACCTTACATCTCCCAAGTCTGTCATTTTGCACTTAGGAAGGAAAACTCATCAAGTGTTCATGTAATCGTTGATTAAAAATCCTAAACTATTTCCTTTGTCCACACACTTGTGATTTCTTGCTGAACTAAAGAACATCAGTAGCATCTTGAGCACTTCACAAAACTACTTCCATACATTTGGAACCTTCTTCCCATGTTGTGTATATGAGTAGCAAGCAAAATACATGTATCTTGTCTGTGTCAAGCCTAGGAAGTAAAATCATCTTAACGATTTACCATGCTTTTTGTAACATGAGGATTTCACAACTGAAATATCAGGGACTAGAGAATGTGCCCAAGGCTACTTTATCTTAAAAACAGAATACTTCTCCTTTTCATTATCACCTTTATGTCTTGCAATTCCACTTGTAGGTTTTATTCTTCAAGTGAAACATTTTGAAATGGGGGAAGTACGGACTCTTTCTAGTATAAAAGAAAATGCCTGCTATAGGAAGGTTTGAGAGCATGTGTGAACTTTGAATGCATTTATTTATCAAAGCACCCGTAGAGTGCTAAATAAATACCACACAATGCTGTTAACAAGCACAACAGAGGCGAGATAAACACCCTGAGGCAGCTGAATTTGAAAACCCATGATTTTATTGGTATCCCACTTAGCAATACTAGTTTAATAACTCATTGTACAGCATGTAATTTATATGTAATCAGACGGGTTTGAACAAATTGCTGTTTTTATGACTTCTTACGGCTGTGAGACCAGCCTTGTTCACAGTGATTGATTCAAAGCATCAATGAGTTGATGTTTGCAGCTTTGCCTAAGGCTCCAGGTTTTGGATCCTAGCAGTTTAGTTACTGAACTTCTGCTGTGCCTTTGATGCCTTCTGTGTCCACAACAGCCAATTTTGTTGGAGGTTTCCTTAGATCCTGCAGATTTGCTCCTACGTCCCTCTGTGCAGAGTCCATAGGTGATGCATTATCCAGCCATACTTCTAGAGCTGGGGTTGGTGTTCCTTATTTCCTTGCAACCCTCTTAAAATGGTTGGAATATTCATGAGACAGACTAATGTCCAGATGGAGACTCTACCTGCAGATGTTAATCTGGATGGGCACAAATCAGCTCTCATTTGTTTCACTTCACAGAATGTGGCATTTGTTCTGTGCCCTTCACAAAGTCTCTTACCTTTTCTTTTCCCTCCCCAGGTACAGCTCCAAGTGGGAATGGAGAGTTTGGTGACTGGAGTGCCTTCAACCAAGCCCCTTCCACTGGAGAGCTCTTCAGTGGCCCTGCTCAGCCAGCTGTTGAGCTCTTCAGTGGCCCTGCTCAGCCGAGTGTTGGCCAGCCTCCAGTAGCTTCAAATTCTGCTGACCTCTTTGATTTGATGGGTTCCTCCCAAGCCACCATGACCTCCTCCCAAAGCATGAATTTCTCTATGATGGGTTCCAATACTGTCAGCCTGAATCTACCCATGTCAAGGTCACAGGTATGATGTTATTCTTCAGTCCCTTAACGAACCATTATGAAAAGTTACCTGAATGGTTTTGACACACTTCTAGTTAAAGCGTCTTGTCATTTGTAGCTCTCAAGTACCATCTTGTCTTTTTGCTTCTATTATCACTCCTCATATGGGTTTTCGTTACATTAAAAGAAAAATCCTTAAGTAATCCAAGAGCCATATAACATATTGTGAACTTCAAACTTGTTGTACCTTGTAGTGAGGGAGCCACTATTTTCTGACATTCTGTGTCACAGGAGATTTTGCCCAATTGGAAAGTAGTGGACTATTAAACACAATCTTGTTTGATTGGTAAATGTCACTAGTTAATATTCCTTAATAATTTAGAGTTGCACTAATCTATTTTGGGATGTGGGGGAAGGCAGTGAAGATGGGATACTTCAGACTTTTGTGGGTTACTACCATTAGTTCCAGCTCCTGCCAACCTAGCAGTTCGAAAGCAAGAAATTGCAAGTAGATAAATAGGTACTACTTCGGTGGGAAGGTAACAGTGTTCCGTGCACCTTGGTGTTTAGTCATGCTGGCCACATGACCACGGAAACGTCTTCGGACAGCGCTGGCTCTTCGGCTTTGAAATAGAGATGAGCACCGCAACCCTAGAGTCGGACTCGACTGGCTTTCGAGCAAGGGAACCTTTACCTTTACCATTAGCACAGCTCCAGCCACTGATGGACAAAGTATTCACAGATGATCTTGAGAATTTTATGAGTATGAACTTCAACTTCCTTGCCTCTTTAGTTCTCTTAAGCAAGCATAAATGTCCATCTGTTTCTCTTTATGGAGGCTGAATGAACTCTCAGAGAAATTACTACTCTACAATATGGTAAGCAACGAATGGCACACATTTAATTTTTTTTTTTAAATTATGCTCCTAGCCTTTGCAAAATGTTAACCCGATGATACAGAAGCCTAACCCACTTTATAATCTGGGCACAGAGATGGTCCAGAAAAATGCAAGCAAGACTCTGCCATCCACCTGGTCAGACCCTAGTGTAAATATCAGTTTGGACAATTTAGTTCCTGGTATGCAACCTTCTAAGCCCCAACAACCCTCACTGAATACAATGATTCAGCAACAAAGTAAGTAATCTTCTTGGTTGAACATTATTGTTGACATACATGTTTTTAGATATCTGTTTGCCTGATGTATTTCTTAGTAATCTATCTTTGTAGCCATGATTAAGCTCTGCTAAAAATAGAGTGAAAGGATATGACTTTCTCAGTCCCAGTAGGGTCTCTCTATCTCCTGTGATCAGAGTATCCAATAAACTGTGCAAGTGTTCAATTTTATGTTTTCGTTTGCACTGATCTGATTATTGAAAGTTCACCATTTTTCACATTGGGTGGAGAAGCCAATGCACAAGAAACATTGGAGAAACTGTGGAGAGGAAATTAAATAGTTCGTAGGAAATGTTAAAGCTGAGTTGACTACACAGTGCTGGACAGGAAATGGCTACTAGACATGCCTGGCAGTCAAAAATGGGAAGTGATATTTGAGCCTGATGGTCAGTGCTCACATGGGCTTCTTGCATCTTTAAAAGATGCTTAAAATACCAGAAGGCAATGAAACAAGCGCAAAACATGTGACCCACCACCAGCCTCATATGGTGTCTTGCTCTTTATTTGACAGCCCTTGTGCATTGGTAGTTAGGATGCAAAAGTAAGAGGTTTTTCAGAGCTCAGGTGGCCTTCCACACATGGCTGGTAAGCAGCATTTAGACTGGCAGATTGTGTAGGTCTATCTCTAATAATTTGTTTCTCACAACCATCATAATCCAAGGATTCTGTACAGTCTCAGACATTCTGCTGTGTCTTTTTTTAAAGCACATGTCCAATCAAACAATTAAAAGAATTTGAAGAGATCTTCCCTTGCACTCTCCTGTTTCCAAAGCCTTCGGTGGGGACAAAGGGAATTTGGATTAAGAAGATTTGAACTATAGGGAGTAGATTTAGGTCCCTGAGGGTAAATATTAACAGTTTTTTAAGGAGAAACATGGGAGAGGGGACTACCAGACAATTGGAGGAGGGGGAACTTTAGGAAATGGGAAGTGTATGAATGGGAGGCTTCAGGATTTGGGGTCCCTCAGAAGCTTAAAAGTGTGATTTGTTTTGAATACTTCAGAACTTTAACATGGGGAAACAATAAGAAATGCATGCTCTTTAAAAAAATCAGTAGCCAAAATAGCTGAAGAATTTAGCTTTTTAATTTATACTTTGTTTTTGTATAGATATGCAACAGCCTATGAATGTGATGAATCAAAGTTTTGCAGCCTTGAGCCTCAACTCGCCACCCAGCATGATGCCTGTTCGAGGGCCTGTTCCCATGGGAATGCCTACTGCGATGACTGGCACAATGGGCATGGCTTCCATAGGAGGCACACCTATGATGGGAATGAATGTGAACATGACAATGCCTGCTTCTGGAATGGGTTTGCCAGGTGCAATGGGTGTGGGTGTTCCTAATATAGCTATGGCATCTGCCATGACTCCTGGAACTGTGCAACCTAAGCAAGATGCCTTTGCAAATTTTGCCAATTTTAGCAAATAGATTGTAAACCAATCAGTCAGAGAGAATGAAGGATTTTAGCTGCACAAATAAAGCTGGGATAAGGGTGGAAAATGCTGATCAATTTTTTTCCCCTTTTTGCTTTTATCACTTACTTTCAAGGAGGCCACATAAAGAACCCAAAGGTTGTTTTGTAAACTCTGAAACTAGTATTGTTCAGGTTTTGGTGAGCTTCAAGGTTCTTCCAGTGAAATGAGTCAAATAGCTGATATTTGTAATGACTAAACCTTGCTATTGTGACTAGACAATTAAAAGCCTTTCTAGAGGCAGAACCAGTTTTAACTTTGAAAGTTGTGTAAAGTCTGGGATTTAGAGGGCTGGGTAAATCTGTGTGAATCTAATTTTATACTTGCTTTCTTTTTTCCCTCTTGAAATCTGTTTATCGTAATTGGATCCATTCCTTTTCCTACCACTGAGTCAAATTTGAAGTCAAAGTATGCTGATCAATTTTTATAAGAATATCTATTTTTGTCCAAAAATGGCTTACATATGTGATTATGGCTAATTCAAAGGGACCTGGAATGTATATATACTTTTGCTACTCTTCCAGCAAGACTGCTATACTATCCAAATTTTTATTATAGACTTCTTTAAGCAATTTGCATATGGGTAAGGATTGTGAAGAGTTTCCTGCTTCTTTCTCCTGTCATATCCAATGCAGAACTGGTAGAAGCTTCATCCAGAGCTGCTATATGGTTTCTGTTCAGAGAACTCAACAGAAAAAAAATTATATATATATATATATATGGTTGGGATTTGTTTGGGGTGTTCCTTTTCTGCAGTCCTACTTCATTGATAACTGGCATAATTCAGATCACTCTTTGGGCCACTGTTACACCTCTGACAGGCAAAAGACAAAAATCGTTATTTTTTTCCTTGAAACTTCACAAAGAAGAAGCAACTGCATCTTTTAAGTTAACAGTAAACACCTCTAAACCTCTTGTTAATACTACAGCATTGGATTTTAGATTTATACACTTGGTGAATACGTTTCTCTTATGTAAATATGGCCTTAGCAATTGCGGAATCCAATAGAGAGAAATTAAATACATAAATATATATATAAATATATATATATATATATTATTATTAAAGGAAACTGGTAGCAGTCAGATTTTATGGATTAATGAAAACAAAGGAAATGAATGAATGAAGAGCTCTTTTTCTTCCTGCTGTAATTCTGCATTTAGGTTCACACACAAATCATGATTTTAGTCTGGAACACAGAGTTTCATCAGTTTCTATTCACAAGCCAGGGCTGCTATTGAGAATAAGTACTATACTCTAGGTATGAAACTTTATTGCCTCCCCTTTCTTACTTGGATTTTTTTTTTATTATTATTAAATTGATAAAACTTTATTTCCATTGTATTCATAATGTTCTGTTATACATAACATTAAAGTGTTCATTAAAAACAATGTTGGGGCTGCCTCTCCTTTCATTCCATTTGACGTTTATGAGAGCAGTTGGTGGGGAGGGGGGAATAATTATAATTTGGGCAAAGTAATTTTTATAAATAATTTAAAATTGTTTAATGACTTTTTATCTCCCGCCTTTCCTATCTGACTCTACAGTTAGGAATTAAAAATGAAGCAGCCCAGATATCTTGACCCACTCCAGCCCTGCTAATGCTCCATCTACAACATTTCTAATTAGGCAGAAATTCATGTACTTCAGCTAAGTGGTAATGAAAAGTGATTCATTTGCTGAATAAGAGATGAGAGTGAGTGTAATTAGCTGACTGCGGTTTTTAATCTTTCAACAATTCAATGTGTTTAAATGAGTTTCAAAGAATAGGAGCTTTCAAGTGTTGTTACATCAAAGTAATCAAGACAAGCTTTACTGGCTGAGCGGGACAGATCACCTTCTCTTCAGCCTCCAGTTTTGAAACCCTTGAACTTTTGTGGGGGCTGTCTAAATAACTTTGGCTTGTGACAATGTTGAGATTTTTTAAAAAGTAGAATGTATATAATCACAGGAGTTGTGAAGAACTGTTTTTCAGGGGCCAGCAGGAGAAGTTGTTGAACCTGTTTTTAAAAATTTCATTCTGTTACAGTGACACCAGTACTGCTAAATCCAGGAATGTATTTTGTATGTTCAATAAAAAATGTGGAATCTGTTTAGAGCCGCATTTGGAGCCAAGTGGTGAAGCAAATGAACTAAGAAACTTCATCTGCTGAGAGATCTGTTAGCTCTTTTGCTAGTTTTTCTACTTCGACATGTTGTTGCTTTCCAAAGTGTTCAGGGCTGAAAGCAGCATATTCAAAACAAGTATGATACATAGGGCTGCCAAGTGGGGGCGGGTGGCGGGTAAACCCCCGCTTTGGAGGCCCAATTTCCGCTGCCGCGGAATCGGGCCCCGGGGGAACCCCGCCCCCGAAGCGCAGCATGGCAACCACGTAGAGCACGTTGGGGGCGTGGCCCCAATCGTTGGAGGGAAACACTGCAGCCTGTCACTCCCGTCCCAGAACTCTCATGCTTCCCCCAAGGGCTGTTATTCCACCCTGGGGCTTGTCTTTCCACTCCCAGAATACTCCTGCTACTCCCAGGGGATGTCATTCCACTCTGCGGCCTGTCATTCCAGTCCCAGGATGCATCTCCTACCCACCTGGGCTGTCATTCCATCTGGGGCCTGTCTTTCCACTCCCAGGACACATCTGCTACCCACTGAGTTCTCATTCCACTGTGCGGCCTGCCTTTCCAGTCCCAGAACACTGCTGCTACCCCCAGGGACTGTCATTCCACTCTGCAGCCTGTCATTCCAGTCCCAAAACACTCCTGCTACCCCCAGGGGCTCTCATTCCAGTCTCAGGACCCATCTCCTACACCCCTGGGCTGTCATTCCACTCTGCAGTCGGTCACTCCCATCCCAGAACTCTCACAAGGTGTTTTTCGAGTATTTTTTTGGCTCAGCTGTAGCCGAATGCACACCTCTGGTCCCAGAATACTCCTGCTACTCTCAGGAGCTGTCATTCCACTCTGGAGCCTGTCGTTCCAGTCCCAAAACACTCCTGCTATCCCCAGGGGCTGTCATTCCACTCTGGGGCCTGTCATTCCAGTCCCCGGACACATCTGCTACCCCCAGGGGCTGTCATTCCCATCCCAGAACACTCCCGCTACCCACAGGAGCTGTCATTCCATTGTGGGGCCTGTCATTCCAGTCCCAGAGTAGTGTATTTGAGATCAGAGACCTTAATGGAAAATCCATTCTGCATTTTCTTTGTAACTCTTCTTGAGCTGTAATGTATTTAACTGGAGCCCATGCAAGTCAGT